AAATGATATATAATATGAAATGATTGGTACGAAAGCTTCAGAGGACGGGAAATGTCGGTTTTTGGCCTTTTCGTCTGTTTTCTCGTAGATATGTCTTTTTTTCCGCTTTTCGTCGTGTATTTGGTGGAAATTCGTCGACAATTGCACGTACTGTACAGTATTTGAATTAACCGAATCCAGAACTGAAGTTTTCATAGCTTTCGACAATTTAAGGGTTCGCTTAAGTATAAAGGAGAAAAAATGTCATAAAAACAAGGTTTAAATTACGGATCCATGCATTTGGTTGAGATGCATATACACTGACTTCGTTTTCTGTTTGGCTAAATTGTTCCGACATGCTTGGGAGCCATCACAAAAAACTTATGTGATGCAGGTTAGTGACGTGCTATAAGATTTTCATGTTCATTGTAACTGATTACCTTGTTAAGCTGAATACACAGTAGTAAACAAACAAGTTGTTAAGATGTGCAGAAAAATATACCAATAGTTGTCCTTGGACGCTAAATGTGCATTCCCTATTGTTCGATATTTACTTCACTTGTTTAATATTGTGTAAATCTTGTTTTCTATTTTTATGGTACGATGTGGTATGTTTGGTTAGTATATAAACAGAGTGTGTTTGAAATATAATGATTCATATCTCATAGGCTGTGACTTTCGTTCTGGACTCAACTGGCTGGGATAGACAGGGAAGCAAGGCCAATCAGGACGCTAGGTCGTTCGTACGTGTTTACGTGTCACAGAGGCGATCGATATAAACGCTGCGTATCAAAACCTGCAGTCACCCGTTACAACACAAGTGAAGAAGAGCATCAGAACCGACAAACGTAAATACGTGGAAGATCTAGCAAAGACGGTGGAAAAGGCTGCAAGAGAAGGGAACATGAGACAACTGTATGACATAACAAAGAAACTCTCTGGAAATCGCCGCAAGCCAGAACGACCAGTGAAAAGCAAGGAAGGCGAGGTAATCACCAACATTGAAGAGCTACAAAGCAGGTGGGTAGAACACTTCAAAGAACATTTGAATCGACCAGCCCCACTGAATCCACTAAACATCGAAGGAGCACCCACGGACCTCCCAATCAACGTTGACCCACCAACTATTGAAGAAATCAGCATGGCCATCAGACAAATCAAAAGTGGCAAAGCAGTAGGACCAGACAACTTCCCAGCAGAGGCACTAAAAGCAGACGTAGCGGCAACTGCAAGGATACTCCACATTCTCTTCAATAAGATTTGGGAAGAAGGACACCTGATCAAAATATCGAAGAAAGGCGATCTCAGCAACTGTGATAACTACAGGGGCATCACTCTTCTTTCAATACCAGGAAAAGTCTTCAACGGAGTATTGTTAAACAGGATGAAGGACTGCGTAGACGCCCAACTTCATGACCGGCAGGCAGGATTCCTTAAGGATAGGTCGTGTACAGACCAAATCGCAACTCTACGGATCATTGTGGAACAATCAATTGAATGGAATTCATCACTCTACATAAACTTCATTGACTACGTAAAGGCATTTAATAGCAGGGACAGAACAACACATCTGAAGGGAAACACGGGATACAATGGACATTTAGGATGCAATTGGACGATCTGGACTTCGCAGATAATCTGGCCCTTCTATCCCAAACGCAACAACAAATGCAGGAGAAGACGAACAGTGTAGCTGCAGCCTTAGCAGCAGTAGGTCTCAATACACACAAAGAGAAAAGCAGGATTCTTCAATACAACACAAAATGCACCAATCCTATCACAATTGACGGAGAAGATTTGGAAGATGTAAAAACCTTTACATATTTGGGCAGCATCATTGATAAACAAGGTGGATCTGATGCAGATGTGAAGGCACGGATCGGCAAAGCAAGAGCAGCATATTTACAACTGAGGAACATCTGGAACTCAAAGCAACTGTCAACCAACACCAAGGTCAGGATTTTCAATACAAATGTCAAGACAGTTCTACTGTATGAGGCGGAAACCTGGAGAACTATGAAAGTCATCATCCAGAAAATACAGGTGTTTATTAACAGTTGTCTACGCAAAATACTTCAGATTCATTGGTCGGACACTATTAGCAACAACGTACTGTGGGAGAGAACAAACCAGATCCCAGCGGAGGAAGAAATCAGGAAGAAGCGCTGGAAGTGGATAGCACACACATTGAGGAAGGCACACAACTGCGTCACTAGACAAGCCCTCACTTGGGATCCTCAAGGCCAAAGGAAAAGAGAAAGACCAAAGAACACATTACGCCGAGAAATGGAAATAGATATGAAAAAGATGAACAGGAATTGGATAGAATTAGAAAAGGAGTCCCAGGATAGAGTGGGTTGGAGAATGCTGGTCGGCGGCCTATGCTCCATTAGGAGTAACAGGCGTAAGGAAGTATGTAAGTAATCACTGTGAACCTCCATTATTGCCACAACCTTTCACGTGCAAGAACTGCTCATCATTTGACATAGAGTTGTGTATGAGTGACTTGCTTCTTCAGTCAGATGCATAGGACTCAGGTAAGCGGATTTCAGATTTAAGGAACTCCGAAGATGCATAATTTATTCATAAGTTATGTTCTTCAGTACAAAACTTGGTAATGAAGACAGACTTTAACCTAAGTTCATAACCACAGTTACGTAATAGCTCTTAGTGTCTAACATACAACTGTAGTCATAAATGCGTCGTGTGAATTTTATTCAGTAAATGCATTTTTGCACTGAAATGTGCTCGGGACAAAATTAAGGTCGTGTATTCTAACCATTTCAAATCTATAGGTAATCCATGACAAAGTGTTGTTGTAGTTGGTATTGTGATGCTCTGAATATGAAGATAAGCAATCGGCATTCAGCGAATAGTTTATTATACGTAATCTTTACCACAAGATGTAATGTCGTTACCGTAAATTATTGTTGCAAAGAAAGGGCTTGTACAAATCATGACTTTGTTATTTACTGTCTACTGGTAACCTTGATATCACAGCATGTGGATAACTGGTGAACTAATGTTTCGAGTAGGAGTAATTTATAAATAGATGTCGTGACGATGACTGTTGTTGAACCTGTCAAAATAGTGTTTTACAGAAAAATAGAATTTATATTTACCTTTTTAGTACCTTCGTCACACATCTGGTAATTTTTTTAAGGTCTTTGGTGGTATAACAATCTCCAAGTTTGTGGGATATTCTGTTGCTATTCAGACGAATGCATTGCATTTTTAACGTAAACTTCTTCAGTCATCTAGGATTCAACGTCCTACTGACAGATTCATGTGATTCCCATTGCTATCTTCCTCAATACCTGAGTAACAGACTTACTAGTAGTATGAAGTTTCTCAATAACTACTACACGTACTAGCGCGCATCAAAAACAACACACAAATATTTTTTTCAAAGCTCACAACGATTTTTTATACTTAGCCAACGAACGTAATTAGTGTACGTCGTCTGTATTTGTGAGATTCCTGTTTCAATTACTTGTTGAAAAACTTTGAAGTCACATTCGGACTCTGCCAACTGGAGAACCATGATTTGAGCAATCACATTTTCATAATGAAGTCCATGTCGGCAGAAGTCGTACTGGAACCGGTTGATGGATAAAAACTAGCAAGACAATTCAAAAGTTACATTTAGCTACAGAAAATAAGCGATAAACATCAATTGAATTGATACACCGATAAGAGCGTTTTCGAAATGATTTATTGGCTACAAATGCATCTTTACCAGATAATTAATGCTGTATTTAGTCTAACCAACCACTTCGTGCTCGCCGAAGTATGCCATCTCTGTTAAATCAGAAGTCGGAAATGAAGGGAATCGACGATATATTTGGCTGTCGATATATCGAGAAGTGTTTGATGTAGACTGACTACAGGTTGCACGTAGCACTGCGCACTCACTCGTGATGTGGTGCAGATGTGTGACTGAGTAACTTCAGCTAGGATGTGACTAGTAAAACTGACGAGATCAGCATCATCGCCAGAGACACACGAAACTGTTTATTTTGATAATTTATTGCTATCCTGACTTCTGGTTTGACAACTTTCGTACCTTCCGATCAGAGTAGTGTTAATGACAAAGTGTTGTCAAGTACCGAATGTTAAAAACATCTTTGGGCTGGTTGTATGTTAAAATGAGGCTATTCACTGGAAAAATTACGTCAGTTAATCTCTGTTGCTTCTGTATTGTCCGCGATCGCCATTATCATCTGAGAGGTAAACACTTCTTTAGATAAAGTGGTAATTCACTCAAACATTCTAGATCTGTAAGGAACTAGTCGCTTCAGCTTGTTGGCTGGACAATCAATCATATATCAGTCACTGTCAGCAAAGACTTGAAAACCAATGTCCATTGACTTGGAACAGATGCTTTACGCGTCAGGACACTTCATTGAGTAAATAGATCCTTTGACTACACAGATGTTATTACCTTCATGAATTTACTCTCAGTATTCTCACGAACAAAGTTTGATTACTCTATAGAAGTGCTCGAGTGTTGTATAGCCAAAGACTAGCTATACTTAACCTTCTCCATTACCTTTTGTTCACTGTCAAGTAGAAAGGTTATAATTGACTTAATCACAATCTTTAGCCTACTATATTATGGTGTGATATTTGTTCTCCTAGAAACAGAGTTTTTAATTAGACTCAAAAAAATCGTAGCCCTAGAACCAAGTGCATATTTGCTGACCGATGACTTTCCCATTGCGCCATCAACTGGTAAAACTCCTAACCCTAACAACTGATTGAAACTCCATCTGTCAACACACTAAAAAAACCGAGTCATTTGAAATACCTCAATCGTCTGGACTATTAAATAGCATCCATTACATTCCCTTTGCAATCTAAGATTGAATCGGATTTTTCAATGTTATTGTTTGCATTTCATCTGAGCAAGATGAATTGTGACGATATGCCTACTCCAAGTAAAGTCGCATGGCCCGATTGAATCTTCGTAGACAAGACTTAAAGACCTACCAACCTTTTTATATATATCAATTCAGGCTGTTACCACGGTACCGTATACACCGCGTTCTATGATTGCTCAGGTAACAAAATTCGTATTTGATCAACATCTTGAATAGACTAAGTTGGATGCTTCAGAATCAGTGAAGGTAGTTGTGAGATGTAGACCACTAAATGAAAAAGAGGCTTCGGATGGTCACAAAAAGTTAGGAACTTTGAACTCTTAAACCTTTAGGTGTGTATTTGTCGATTGTTCGAATGGGACTATTGAAGTTCGTAATCCAATTGCAAAACTGAATGATGATCCAAAAAGATTCAGTTTTGACGCTGTTTACGATGAAAGGTAAGAGGTCTTCAAGATCTTTTTATCTTAGAAAGTTCGAAACAAAGAGATTTATACGATGAAACTTTTCGGGACCTAATTAACAGTGTTCTAGATGGCTTCAACGGAACCATATTTGCTTACGGACAAACCGGAACCGGAAAAACCTTCACTATTCAGGGTATAGCTTGCAAGCTGACTCAAATATTTAACAGGCCTTCAGGATGACCCAGAATTACGAGGTGTAATGCCAAACTCATTCGTTCATATATTTGACCATATATCGAAGTCTATGGATGCTCAGTATCTTGTACGAGCGAGTTACTTGGAAATTTACAAAGAAGAGATTCGCGATTTGCTTCGCAGAGACCAGTCAAAGCACTTAGAAATCAGAGAAAAACCAGACAGTGGAATATTTGTAAAGGTAAGCACATTTGAGCAAGCAGCTCTATTCATCTAGTTGTTTGACTATAAGCCTTTCGTTAACGTTCTTTAAATTTCAGGAGATGCCGCTCTCAATAGATTTCTGCCAAAATGATCAGATTATTTTAGAATTTAGGAGGCCTGTAATAATATAGTGTACTGATAAAAATAAACTAATACTTTGTGTCTTTAACAACTTGCGCCAAAATGTAACTACTAGCGTGAACTCTTTACGTTAGCAGGTGATTAATGCTCCTGATATCGAAAGACTAAAACAATTTAAACCTATCGGTTAGACCCACACAAATAAATTTCATAGTCTGTTTCAGTTTCATTTTGAAAGAGAACCTTATTGCTAATCTCAATTACTTGTCGTTACAAACTAAAACTTACTAGTATTCAGCATGCGAATTTATTATGGTTGGTTGAATCATCTGATGAACGGGCAAAGGTCAACAGTTTTGTTGTAATTCGCGCAAACCACTGCTTTTTGGACCATTCCTTTTGTCATGAGTATAAGAAACTGTATGATAATACAGATTACGGGTGAATTTCACTTGCATTTGAATTCAACTCTCATTACGTTCATTATATGTTTATAATAATTTAGTAGGTTTACTTCATCATGTTTCACATGCTTCTTGCGTCCAAAATCTACAGGTGCCTACTTTATGTTATGTTTTTATGCAGATGAGAGTAGTTGTCAATATTACAAACATCAACGTGAGGTAGCAACGGTTGGTAGTGGCAAGGATGGTGTGGTCAAATAAAACTGGTTCCACGAAAGCTGTGTTGTTTTCCAGCTTAGTCAAAGTGTTTGACTCAACCTTTTATAGACGATGAGCTAATTATATCGATAGAAATTGGAATTACTTTTACAAGTGGCATTTTACAATATTATTGTAGGCTTGTAGTAACTTACCAGTCCCACGATCTATTTCTTGTTTCACAGTTGCATCATTTACCTCAAATTTCTGTGATAACTAGTAATGCGGTTAATCGATCTTTCAGGTATATTGAGTAACTTGCTGATCACAAGTTCTCATTGAGAATGTAATTTTCTGGCTTTTTTGTAAAGTGATTTCATTTGATCTTACCTCATTTTATTTCTTATGATCAGGACTTGTCCTCTGTTCTTACCAAAAGCATAGATGAAATCCAGAAGGTTATGAAGATTGGATATCAAAATCGTGCAGTCGGGTAGGTAATTAGTTATATTTCAGACTACATAGCATTTTAGAGCCACTAATATGAATGAACACAGTTCGCGATCACACGCTATTTTTATTGTAACTGTTGAAAGTTGCAAGGTATGGTAAGCCATTTTTTAAAATAATTATAGACTGGGGCAGATGGAGAAAAACATATACGAGTTGGCAAGTTAAACCTCGTCGATTTGGCAGGTAGTGAACGCCAGTCCAAAACACTATCAGAAGTATGTCCAAACAAATGGCTCAATAAACATTTAATTCATATTTCTGTCTGTTCACCCTCTTTTTCCAATAGTTTGTATTTGGGAACTATAGATAACAGGACAGTAGGGCTTTTATCCATCAAAAATATGTTCTTACTATAAAATGGTCAAATATTGTTTGGTATCAGCTAAGTATGTTTTCATTGTTACAACTGGTGAATTAACACCTTTAGCGTATGAACAAATGTAGTTAAACAGACGTTTTAGTGTCATTAAATCAAGTGCTTTGGTTATTTCAGTTTTATGTTTATTTTAAAAGTTATCTCCAATTTATACTTTAGGGAGAACGCTTGAAAGAAGCCACTAAAATCAATTTAAGTCTTTCCACTTTGGGAAACGTGATATCTGCACTGGTGGATGGCAAAAGTACACACATACCCTATCGGGACTCAAAACTCACTCGTTTACTCCAAGGTGATAATTTACTTGTTATCAGTATATTGTGAATAATGAACTGTTTATGCATTTTGTTAGTTATGAATCCTTTCTGTCCAAGTTCTTCGATACAGTCGCATACAATAACTAGCACTAAGCCCTAATTTCTGATAAAGTTATTAAAATGTTTGTGCTGACTTTGATGAATGTATAAGTACATAAAAATGTTTTTGCAGAGAAAGTTATACTACAAGTGTCAATTTTCTATGAATTGGTAGCTCTTTCAGTCTGAGTATTTCACCCCACTAAATACATACACTAAAACTCTTAAGTACTGTAGTTGACTTCAAGAGGTTTGAAATAAATATCCCATTCAAATATAAAATGTGGTCAAAATTAAATTGTCATTCCAATGAAACCACTTATTATGAGCTGGACTGCTCATCTTAAACTAAGCGAGCATATGTAAGTTAATTAGGACAAAATACTGCCTATTATCAGTTTTCTTATTTTTCCTGTGCTACCACGAGAAAAATATGTCTAAACAGAGCACTATTTTAATACCATGCCATAAAATACTGATCGCCGCATATTTTATACAGCAGATATTTGGGCCTAATTAGGAGATAATTTTTGGTAGGACTTCTCAAGGAATTCAACGCTTAGTGTGGATTGTTTTTGGACATTTAATTTGACGATAAATAAATTAGTTCTAACTTAACTTTTCTACTCTTACAAGCTGATTTTTCTGATTTTGTGAGTTGTATATTATTCCACACCACGAAATGTCATATAAAGTGGAGTACAAACACAACATACTTCCAGTGTCTCTGTATATTGAGCAAAATCAAGAAAATTGATTCCTTAAAGTGCTTTTTTCTGTAAATCTGTTAATAACCACTCGAAAGCTTAAATCTAAGCATATTAATAAAGGTAGGTTATTCCCTCACATTTTGCTGAAGAGTACTTGATTTACATGGCGTTTTTATTCGAAGATTTGCCTGCTCAAAATGCTGCTATATAGATATGCATATTACAAAGCGTAAATAAATTATTTCATATAAATATAACCTAGTTATATCCATGAAGTTAGTCATATAAATAGATAAAACCAAATGATGAAAATATTTATACGTACGTCTTTGCTATGAATAACACGGGAAAACAGTTGGAACAGTAGTGAACGTAGAAACCAAAAATCCAAAAATTTCATTAAATCTTGTGACGCTTTGTATCTAAGATAACAGGTGGGATAAAATGTTTCGTGTTAGATACTGAAATTATGTCACATAAAAGTTGTGATTTCATCTTAACAATGTTACTTCTTACATCGCAGATTCTTTGGGGGGTAATTCAAAAACTATCATGATTGCAAATATTGGGCCGGCGACCTACAATTATGAAGAGACCATAAATACACTAAGATACGCTAACCGTGCTAAAAATATTAGGAACAAACCAAAAATAAATGAAGATCCAAAAGATGCCTTGCTGAGAGAATACCAAGAAGAAATCAATAGGCTAAAATCACTACTGAGAAACTGTGTCGCTGCCATTCCAAAACAGTCTCAAAAAAAGAACGGAAAGCAGAGATCTCAACAAAAACATTTATTGTCGAATGGTATGTATAATTATTTGTCGCTTTAAAAGTTATGTTTGAGTCAAATGCTAATCTAATTTCATATGCTGGAGTAGCGATTTCTTTTAGGAGACTGCTGAGAAACAAAACAAATCATAAAAAGCTGAAGCTAGTTGAATTGGTTGTTGTTTCAGTCATTAAATAGGTTTATTTATCATATTGGTCTTTAGTTTATGAGATATAGATCAATTTGCCTATGTTCATGATCATTTGCTTTGTCACGAAAGGTTATTTTAGCATTGATAGGTAACAGTTTGTCCTCATTATGATTAACTATCCATCTTCCAAGGACTTACTTGATCATAATGCGTTTGAAGAGATCAAAAGTGCCTTATTTCCATCAAAAAGGTGTTCGATAATCAAAACTGAGCTTTTTGTCAAACTTTACTGGAATATGTGCATGGCAATATAGCCATTCTGCCAACACTTTTTACAGTAGATTGATTATAGATGGTAGGGGAATCCGGGATGGGTTTTTTCCCATACTTAGGACTCTGATGAATTTGACTGTATCTTTTTGTTGATGTTAACATTGAGACTTGACACTAGTGTATCAACGCCGTAATATATTTGAAGAGTTCAAAGTAAAACAAAATATGCATACTAGATCCCAACATTAGTCGAATTCCTGTCGGTACGCATTTTGTTAACTAACTTTTTGTCATGAAAATACTTGAAAGTCTTGGAAAGTTTAAAAAGGCCGTTTAAAACCGTATTACATCAGGTTAAAAAGCATGCAATTATAGACGGTATTTTATTCTATATATTAGGCTCTGAAGCTAACAGCGATAGAGAAGATGATGCAACAAGCATAGAAAACTATATGAAGGAACAGCAAACAAAACTATTGGCTGAAAAGGATGAAGTCTTAAACGACAATTCACTTGTTGCAGAAGAAAAATCTCGTATGTTGAATGACCTTAAGGTAAAACTTACCATATTTGAGAATGTTTTTTCTTCTATGAAACAAAATTATAACACATTTGTAACTCGACCATTTTATGTTGCTACATTTCAAAGATTGAACGTGACATTGGAGGTGGTGAGATCTCTGATTTGGATGGTCCAGTTGTGTAGCTGTTATTGTTCTTCTGAATATGGCATGCTGGATTGTAAAGTTAGCCAAGAAATCAGTGAAACGGTTCACTGTTTGTAAGGAAATATTTACTAAGTAAATCACATTTTAGTGATGAAATCAAGGACTCACTTCTGTAGGTCAGGTACTTATAGTGATTGTGATATTCCTGTTCTTGTGATATTAGTAAGTCATTTTCTACATTAAGCTATTAATCAGTTGTAGGTAGACTAAGCTACACTGCGAAAATTAAAATAATATGTATAACATGTATGGAAATCATAGTGAGAAACTCTGTTGATCTATTCTTGATGTAAAACTAGTTCTTCTCTTCTGTGCTGCATCTTGCTTATCTCTTGCGTTGAATAACATCAATTCTTTGGCAACGTTCTATCATCCTATCATACAACGTCTAAACTTTCGTACGAAAATCGGCTCAAATCTTAGTGTTTTAGGTAAAAAAAGATAATTAGATATGGGACAAATATGGAGTTATCTATAGACAAGAGCTATTTGTTGATAATATGAAATTCCAGTTAAAAGGTCACTTCTTTACTCAAATCGTGTAGTACACTTAGTAAACTGCTTTCTCTAGTTAAGCTCAGTTGCTCTGAATGGATTAAAAACTTAAATATATTAAGTGGGAATATGCAATTTCTATCCATAGTTTGAGGGCTTAAATTTTACATTGAAAAACTCTAGTTTTTATATAAAGTTCGCGAATTTTTATTGGGACTTACAGTTTCCCATTGATTTTATAAACACTACATTAGATAGCTTAAACGTTTTCCATCATTTAATAATGTCTATATCTTGAAAATTCTGCTAGTTTCTTTACATGTAGTAAAATTGTGTTCAACTGGATAGATACTTAAGTAAATTTATACCAAGATGATTAGATATAATTTTTTCTTCCATATCTAAAAGAAGAGAGAAAGATGCGCACTTATTAGGTTTTTGGTAAAGAAAGGGAATGGATAATACCTGCAGTTGTTTACTGATTAGTAATTAGTTATTTGAAGTATGAGTAAACCATAATTACCAATGTTAAATAAAATAATGACACAGCTTCCAGGTAAACGAACTACAAAAGATGGAACAACTGATGAGCAATCAGTGTTTTTTATTGTTATGTAAAGCCGTAAAACAGCATAGTTCAAATAGTTGAAATCGCGAATCAATTGAAGCTAGACCACCATGGAAAACCTGGAAGCACTGACAGGACTGGTAGGTACTGGGTTCGAATCTCGTGAGGAGGCGGGATCCTGGATGCGCACTGCTAAGAAGTCCCATACAAGGACGAAACGGCCGTCCAGTGCTTCCATGTTTTTCATGATGCTCCAACTTCGATTACCTCATGATTTCAACTAGTGAAATTACTAAAATCTCCACAAAACCCATTCTGATAATAGTCCAAATAGGTTAACAAAATGTAATTTAGTACAAAATCCATTTTCATCTCATACATACAATCAATATTGATTTTTTATACATCCTCCTCAATGTCTGAGTTGATTTTAAAACAAAACAAAATATCGGAAGCATCTGATATACACGTATGTTCAGTAAATCTAACATTTAAAAAAAATGGTTTAAACATTTAATATTATTTATAAATTGCGTTTATTTTTATATCAACTATTCATATACACAAATATATAATGTTTTTATTAAACCGCTAAACCAAACCGCCCATAGTTAAAAAAAAAGATACCGGGTAAAATTCAAGTGTAAACTACATATGGTTCGCCTTATCTTTGACTTTAATTGTTATATAAAGATTCGGTCGTTAAAAACTTGGTTAATTTCAAATGTCCATAATATGAGAACTTCGAAAATTCTATTTTGAATCAAGTTACTTGTAAATCATATGTTTCTATTTGATTGACAAAATAACACTGCTTTTATGGTAAGTGTTACCTTGATTTACATTAGAAACACTATTAAAACAATAGAAAACAAGAATATTGTTTTTACTTACTTGAACATAGCCCTACTCATAATAGCTTAATTGTTAGTGATAACCATGAAATGTGGGATAAATTTTGTATATTTTCAATAATGTTAAATCAACCCAATTTCTAATGCTATTCTACAACGGGTTATTGAGATGTATATCAGAATTTAAAATTCTATGAAATTCAATAAACTTATCACTTTAATTCACACCTTATTTAACCTTGACGAATGTTATTTGCTTTAGATAAAAGAAATAAAACTTCAGGAAGAACAAACAAAAACGCAACAGTTAGAGTCTAAATTAAGAGCTATGGAAAGTAAATTACTTCGAGGTGATCAATCAATCGTTGAACACACTCGCATGCAAGAAGTAACTTTAGCTCAACAACGGACACAAATGGCTGAGCAAAAGCGTCGTGAGCGTGAAATAGTAGCTCGTATGGAAGAAGAAGAAGGAAGTATGGCTAATTTACAAGAAGGTTTCACATCATTAAAACAAGAAGTAGAAGTAAACACTAGAAAGTTAAAAAAATTATTTGAAAAATTACAAGTATGTTGTATTTTTGGTTTTCTAAGTTTAAAGTTTTGGAAAAAACCAAATATTTTTTTAGGAATAATATAGAATACTATATAGTTATCTCTAAGCAAACAAAAACAAAAAGAATTATTCATTAACAATTGATTTATCTTACAGATAAACCATAGATATGCTGAAGTTCCACTTATACACTGAAAAATCTAGTACATTACATTATAGACATGAGTGTCACAATGAATAAGTACATATCTAAGTATTAACAAGTCTAAAATAAAAATAGGATAGTGAAACGAGTTGGTGGATATAAGAAATAGGCAACATTCAAAAATAACAAATATTTAGTAAAAATTATATATAAATACATAAAATCAACGAATATTTAATCATATTCTTAGTGTATATGGCCAGGAGTGGAAGCTAGAAAGTATATTTCGTCTTGTTTCAGGCTTATCAATCGGATGTACCTGCATCCTAATATTGACAGTAGTACTGAGACTCGAACTCAAAGCTTATTAACAACTAATCTACTGAGTCTACAAAACCAATAATTTATTTGACAAGTATGAGTTTATTTGTAAGGGTTTTTATTTTCTCAGTGTTAATATTAAGTAATAAAATTTATCAGTTTCTATTGGTATATTTGCATTCACAGCAAACTCTATCAATATTAACTTTGCTTTTACAATGCTATCTTTCAATATCACTGTTAGCAATTTCTGCATCTTCCATAGTAAGTACCCTCTTCATATTGAGAATTCACAAATAACTTCTTTCCCGTAACTAAAAGTAACTTTAATGTTGGTACTCTATTCATCATATTCTTCTTAATACGTTAATTGTGATTCTCTTAAGACACATTTTAGGCTACATTTATTTATTATTACCGGTGTATACTCTTTTATGCGTTCTAACTAACTACTTGATCAACTTTCTTTTTTTCCTATAGAGGTACTGTACCTAAATAAAAGTTCGGCAAATCTATAAACCAAGCCTTTTATCACTCTTTCAGGTAAACAAGGCGTCACTGAGGCGAATTATTTTGTAGACTTTAGTGACTGTGTAAATAAACTAAGAATGTCTTAACAAAAATTTAATAAATGGTAGATTTTAAAATTCAAACTATCTTTTTGATATGAAAAGCTATTATAGTTGGTATTTTTTTCCTGCTTAACAATATGAAACTGAGTTTTTCCACCTAGACTCCTAACTTGTCAAAATAGAATGAGCTTGTGCACTCAATTTGTTCGTCGCTTTCTCAGTTTGCTTATATACTATTCCTATAATAGTTTTACCCATTTTAAATATTTTGAAGAGATTAATTTTTTTTAAATTTTTACATAGTACTCATTACAGGGTGATACTAATTCAAATATAGTGGAAAACCAGAAAGTACTAAACTGTAGCTTCTTCGTGGAATGAGATTCTTCAGCAACTACATTTTTTAAGATTGGTTTTCTAACAAACAGTTTAGATAAATCATTATCAGATAGTTAGTTTGACGATATCTTGATCTGGGTTTACTAGTTTTATTCTTAATGTACCATGATAAAAAAACTAACCTGATATAAACTGGAAATATTAGACTAAATTTATTTATTTATTTATTCATTAATCCAATGAAATCATAATCTGAGTTTATAAATAATGAAAGATATTTGTATACATTAGGAAATTAAACAGCAAACATCTGATATACAAGAAGAACATACTGTAGAACGTCAAGAACATGAAAAAATTCAAGATCAACTAACACGTCAAATTAAATTGCAGTTGTTAATTCTAGAAAACTTTATACCAATAGAAGAAAAAGAGAAATTAGAAAAACGAATTTATTTTAATGAAGAAACTGAAAGATGGCAACTGAAACCACTTTTTCAGTCTAGTGATGATGGTACAAACTTAAATATTCCATCCTGGTAAGCAATCATTTCTTTATATTAGTGGTTTATAATTTGATAGCTGCATGTAATCTCGTGTAAACCATCCATTAGTGCTTTTATCATACAACAACACGTATTTATAGCTTACAGTCATGAAATTTAAGCCTATTTTTTCAATGTTTTACTTAGTAAAATAGACAGATTATTAAAAATTGGACACTCTGGATTTTATTAAATGATAACTGATAATATCATGAGATTTGAGATGAAAGACATAGTGCTGTATCAAATACCCTATAATCTATGGTCTGTCGGAAAATACTTTAAGATCTAGGTTTTAACCAGTGAGATTACTTTATTGGATGTTACAAGTAAAAATATTGCCCTATTTGTATCGTGTCAACCAAAAATAACTCTTCAGTGTTTGGTAAACTGTTTAAAATCGGTAAGAGTCACTTATGGACTTTTTATTTATCTCCTCAGTTTAATTATATTGTTTTGAAGATTTACAGATGCATTAGTCTCAGAACTACTTCTAGTTCACTCTATGCTTTCTAGTCACACGGTAATTGATTTATCAATTTTGTAATAACGTGATTCGTGAGATGGTCAACAAGTTTTTCGATACAAATATTATTGAGCCAAGCCAACAAGCTTTGACCACAGGAGTTCCAAAATTTGGAGTTTGACTAGATCGTTAACTTTTACATCTTCAGTTAAATGTATTAGTACATTTTTAATCTATGTTTCGCGAATCGGTCAGATTAAAAGGTAGAGTATCACTCTGTACCCATACATATGAATGTTTAAAAAAATTCTATCTATAGCTACCTATTATATTGAACGATTCATCATCATTGAAAACGTCTTACTGATTACTCACTCAAGGTTAACTATTAGTACATCTTATTTCAGTCAGTCGGATTGGGTAATACCACCTCTACGGTTCTTGTTATACATAGATTCGAAGATCGCAGCGTGATGCTACAATGTTAATAATGATCTAGTAAAAAATTTTGAAAATAACTCACTTCGTTTAGTTTGTCTCTATCGGTAATGAAAGATTTACCCTCTGGTACTAAACACCGTAGATAACACAATACAGTTTATGCATTAACACTAGACTGGATAATACCACTGGGGACACTAGACCACACATATTAGATAGGAGATAATCAAACCAATAGACTAGATCCAGCTGTACACAGATAGATAATTGAGATTATGGACACAGAATAACTGTTTATTAACGCAGTACAGAGTACAGCACAGTGAAATCAATAATGGGAAGGAGTTTATTATAGTGCTTTATACATCTGTCTTTGCCTACTGGTCATTCACACCTTACTTTCACCGGTCACACAATATATTTTTTGCATCCAACTCACATTTCTAAGTTGGACAGAAAATGTTTTAAGAAAGCCTATAGTTTGTTTTAGCTATCAACAGAACGAACAAGTAGGTCATAGTTCTCTTCAGACATTAACTTTGTAAACTACTATAAATTATAATCATCAACAATTATCGATGAAAATGATGGCCCCTATTGTGAATAATACTAAATTGTTTTTCAGCTTGATTGTCCTCTTTTCTTGATATTCCCTCAGATTTAGTGGTAAGATCTCAGTGAGTCTTATAGAATACCCGATAAGATAGTGAAACTGTGACCGCAAATTAGAATTTTTTAAAGTCCAAGATTTATAAGCTTGATTTGTCGTCTCTACATAACTCGTACAGCAGCGGAATTGCTTTTTTGTAACTTGTTTTATTAAAATTGTGCCCCATTGATAACTTTTATGGAATATTACTGAGAAAGTTAGAAAATTACACTAATTATGGCACAACGATAGACTACCGTGTGAAATCTTGAAATCAAAAGACTCGATTTTTTCGGATTATCGTACTATGAAGGTAAATAATATAAACAATAGGAAATTACATACCTATAATTGTGAGTTATCTGAGCATTTGTTAGGCCTTCAATTTATATTTATTTAGAAAATACGTACACAAAATGAAGTAGGTAAGAAACTCTTAACGCTTTCATGAACCCACAGGATAGCAAACTCTCGTGTCAAACGTTTTCTGAAGAATAATACGAAGAACTGGGAGCCATACTTTTACGGTAGACAAGCTGTCTCAAAGCAAATAAGTTGTTAAGTGGTGGAATGTATGATAAAGGTTACGTGAAAAGAGTATAAATGCTGTCTTGGGTATAAGCGAGTTAAAATATTATAATAATCTGCCTATGGAAATAAGAATTCGTTTCAACTAAGTATCTGAGACATTGGGATGCTGATCGAATGTTAAATAAACATGAGTTACTGATGATTATTTAAGTAGTATAGTGTATCACATAAAAGGAATGGGTACGAATCGAATGGAGATAGAGGTGTAAAGGTGATATGATCGATAGAAGATGAGTACATTATAGTTGTCTACGAATTGTATTATTGTAATAGATAGGTTTTGGTGGAGTTTTGTTCTCTGAGCTGGATGGTTTGGTCGTTTGGTCGTGGACCAAACCATCCAGCTCAGAGAACAAAACTCCACCAAAATCGTCCACCTGAGCTACAAATCTTCTCCACCATTGTAATAGGTAGGTGTGAATGACTGATCATTATTTATTGGAGTTCTTTCTTCAAATAGTTTTCGTTTCTCCTGCTGAGTTATGTGTATCCAGTTAATCTCTGATTGGTATTAGGAATTCAAGTGGATCCAGTCTGATGCAGATTCCTTAGCTTCGTTGGAAAATAATCTGGATCAGTAAGAATTATAATCGTCTTTCTGGGACCTTGTAGTACTTTCCATTTCTGAACTTTCAGACCTATCTAAGAAATATTTATTTTACTTGGCCTTCCTATGGTAAGCAGTATGTAAATTTTAAATAAACATAAAATTAAATGTTTTCTCACGTAATTCTGAAGTGATAATAACACAGTGAAGTTGTACGGTAAATGATGGCTTTGTGATTGAAAATGAAACCATATTTACTGACAATAATATACTGTCTCAAATAAACGATTGCAACTATTCATTTAGAATACAATATTTGCGCAAGTATTTGATAGTAATCTTGCAGATCTTTCTTTTCATTGTAAATCTCGTGTCAGCAATGTATCTTCTCGATAATTCACCGTGACTAGACAATAGAACATACATTTAGAATGAATTTGACCCATACAAGTTACTATGTATTTACTACACTGTGCTTCAGTATGTTCTGTCATGCTATTTACACTGTGATTTTGTCAAAGATATAATGTTAATCAGTCTTTTTGTTGTACTTACAAAGTAAACAATCTGTTTGTCGTTATGCACGTATGGCTGCAAACTATGATCCAAACCCTAGATTCCGAAACAAACAGATATTAACTTTAGATATGGACTTACCTGGACGTACTACACGGGATTATGAACCACCACAATTGGCTCCACAGGTGGTGGCTGCATTGGAAGCTGCACTACAGGATGAAGAAGATTTAGAATTGGATGGAAGGTATTGAAACTGTTGCATAACACTGATAATCATCTCATCTTATACTCTATAAAGTTTTCTTTCAACGCAACGTTTTAAGGAAAAACGATTCATTGTTTCCACTCATGGTTGTTCATTTAAAAAGAGTTAATCATAAAATTTCTCAACAGCTTAATCTGCAAAGAACTAACACAGTTGCCATTGATTAGCACAACAATAAATTATTATTAATCTTAATCTATAGAAAATATTTTAAGTATCGAAATTATACTTTGACCATCTATAGACACGAGAATCTTTAGTGATAATAATAAGTTTTCTACAAGCATTATGAAAAATATTTTCATGAAAATACCAAACAGGATATTGGAATGGGTAATCTAGATTTTTCTCTTCCGACCAGTGTATCTTAGCATAAGGATTACACATGAAGCTAAGATCTACCTTATCTACAACCTATTACTAGAGAGATTTTATAAAGATTGTTCAGGTCCATAGTTCATATCACTAACTGACCCTAATTAAGCAACCAATTAAAATCAAAATCACCGGAGAGTTGTTTTGTTTACGAGATCTCAATGTCTTGAGTTTGATTCTTGATGGAATCGTAGATTGTAACTACTGAAAAGTCTTACATTAAAATGAATAGGCTATTCGGTGATTACTGAGTTGTTTAAGTCAGATCAATCAATTTTGTTAACCATGATTTGTAAATATCTTATACTTTGACAATAATGCAGAGTAGGTCATGCTGATTGTCATTAGCAAATAATCAGAAGGGGTTTTGTGGAGATCTTAGTAATTTCAATAGTTGAAATCAGGAGTTAATTGAAGCTAGACCACCATGAAAAATCTGGAAGCACTGGAAGGCCGTTTCCTCCTAGTACGGGACTCCTCAGCAGTGCGCATCCACGATCTCGCCCCCTCACGAGATTTGAATTCATGACCTATCGGTCTCACGCGCGTGCGCTCAACCACTAGACCACTGAGCTGGCCGGCATCCAACAATGTTAATATATTATCTTATAAATGAGGAATCTCATAATTCACAATAAAATAATCCAATTGACAATTAGTAATCATGTATCAAATTGTGAAAATTTATAGGTTGACTTCCTTATGCTTTTTTTTTACAAATTTTTGCATTATTATTTTTTCTTAACTTTCATATTTAGTCCTTCACTATTTCAATCTTCATTGTCTAAATTGAAGAAATCAGAAAAACGGTAAGAAAATATTGTCAATTTTTATTTAAACTATTTATATTCCATCGAGTTAACTCTTACTATTCATTATGAATTAGTTGATTTTTCATATTTATTTTTGTTATTTTTACGATAAAAAAAAGAAGAATATACTGATGAAGTTATACTTTTTCTTGATAAGTATTTTGACAGTTTTCTTTTCTTTCATTTTTTTCTTTACTTTTCTTTTTCCTTGACCTTGATCTACTTTATTCCAATATTCTGTTTTTTTTCTTGTTTTGTTTTGTTAACTTACTATACAGAAATTTATTTTTTCCATGATAATAAGTGAAAGAAATTCTTTTTCATCTCAATAGTAAGATCGTCCATAAATGATAGTTTCACCATATTTTCTGTGAAATTTCCATTGTTTTACTTTTAGCTTCTAGTGTAAATCAGTAGTATATAACATTTATTTTTATGAATGGTTAAATAAAAAAAGATTAAGTTAAGATTAATTTTACAAAAATCTTGTAGATAGTGAAAATGAAATATCTTGTCTGAATAGAAATAAATACATCATACGATGCAATAATAACCACCTCAAGGTTATCTGCTTCAGCCAACTTCTATTTTTGGGATTAATATTACTTACTTGCTTACGCCTGTTACCCTCAACGGGGCATAGGCCAGCGACTAGCAATCTCCAACTCACTTTGTCTCAGGCCATCCTTCCTAGCTCTATCGAATTTTTGTTCATTTTCCTCATGTCTATCTCCATTTACCGGCGTAATGTGTTCTTTGGTCTTCCTCTTTTCCTTTGGCCTTGAGGATTTCAAGTGAGGGCTCGCCTTGTGACGCAGTTTAGTGCTTTCTTCAATGTGTGTCTTATCCACTTCCAGCTCTTCTTCCTTCACTGTTATCTGGTTTGTTCTTTCCCATACGTTGTCGCTGATAGTGTTTGGTCAACGGATAGGACGCATTTTGCGTAGACAGTTGTTAATAAACACTTATATCTTCTGGATGATAGCTTTCGTAATCGTCCAAGTTTCCTCCCCATACGGTAGAATTGTGTTAACATTTGTAATAAAAATTCCGACTTTGATGTTGGTAGTTGACAGTTGTTTTGAGTTTCAGATGTTCTTCAGTTGTAGATATGCTGCTCTTGTTTTGACGATCCGCGCTTTCACATGTGCATCAGATCCACCTCGTTCATCAGTAATGCTGCCCAGATTTGTAAGGGTTTTTACATCTTCCAAATATTCTCAATCAAGTGTGATTCGATTGCTGCATACTGTGTTGTGTCGGAGAATCTTGCTTTTCCCGTTTTGTATGTTGAGACCTACTGCTGCTACACTGGTCGTTTTCTCTTGCATTTGTTGCTGCGTACGCAACAGAAGAGATAGATCATCTGTTAAATCTAGACCGT